GTCACATAGTCACTCAGGCGAACTCGATGCCATCAATGTCATTATCAATATCAACAACGTGATTGGACAGAAACCCCTCTGGACCCGGCAATGAATCGATCTTCTTCGCCTTCGCCTTCTCCTGCTGCGTCGCGTCGTCATCGTGTAAACACAGACGCACCAACAACTGCACTCAATCAAAATTTTGATTATTTTGATATGGAGGTGCTTCAGACGCCGCTGCGTGCTGCCTGCCCCCGCGTTGCCCAGTTGCCCATTGATAAAGAGACCAAAAAACTAAACAACTAAAAAACCAAAACCAAATCCATATCCATATCCAGAGCCAAGAGTCGACGCATACGCAACGGGATGGTGCGCGAGTTACAAGTATTTACTTGGGCTCTCGCCTATAATAACAACAACAGCAACAACAACTGGGCCTAGAAGACAGCAGAGGGTCCGTCGTGTTGCTGGGATGTTCCCGCTCACAATTGCAGCTGCATCTCAATCTGCTTGTCAGCGTATCCATATCCATGATATTCGTGGAAGTTCCACTTGAGCGCCTCAATTGTAAGAGAATACGAATTTAATTGCAGAACACAAACATTAAGCAAAGACGAACGCGGATCGTGCGTATTCACGGGGTGGCGGGTGTGTTAAATGGAAAAGACTTCAGGAAAAAGCAAATATTGTGAGTGCGCGTAGCTGAGCTGCGTTGAGCTTTAAAAGCCAGATACAGGTATATATCTATTTATTTAAACTGATTATAATTGGACTTGTTGACGAACTTCAAGCGAAATTGATATTCTATTCGCACGTCCTCATCTGCGCAGCTTTCTACAACTCGGTTACAGATGATTTTTGTCGACAAAAAGTTGTGTTTACGTTTGTCATCCTCTTGTCAAAGTACTATTCAAATTGTAGTTAGAGTGAAAAAGACGCAATTAATAATGCTTAGTCTTATTCGTTTGCGTAGAATTAAGGTCAAATTTAACAGGCAGATTAATTTGCAGCTCACAATTGTCATTATTGTCGTCAGCGCATGAGTAAAAAAATTTGCTTGGATAACAGACGTGAAAGATTTTTAATGTAATATTTTTTTTTTTTTTTTTTAAAGTTTACTCTAACATAAAATTATTCTTATTGTTTTACATATAGTTACCTTTAACAAATAATAGTAAAAAATACGTATTATCAAAAACTAAAATACTTCAGATATAAAATAGGTATGAGAAAAAAATGAAGACAATATGTTTCAATGCAATTACGATTTTACAAAATAAATATATTTAGTACAATAAGGAAAATAAAAATAATACGTATTAATAAAACATATAAAAATTAATAAAAAAAATATATGTATTTAAAAATATATATACAAAATATATGTATGTAAATAATATATATATATATATTATAAAAAATTTATTAAAAATAAATAAAATATAAAAAATAACAATATTCACATTATTAAACATTTCGTAATAGATCAAGATTAGATATGCACAATTCCACTTTTCCTGATTTATGATGATAAAATATGATAATACATATTTAAAAAAAAGTAATTTATATAATATAATCTAACATAGAAAAGCTTAGCAAAGTTATAATTCAAAAAGAATAGAAACATATTTAAAAAACTAATCTAATTAGAACTCCAAGTGTGAATATATGTGAATATTTATTTATATAAACAGCTCATTAAATTACACTTCAGCAATAAAAAAGTGAATATAAAAAAAATAACTGAAAAGATATAAAAACCGATAAAAAATACAAAAAAAAAAAAATATAAGAAAAAGCTCATTAACCTTTATTTGTGTACTCTCGACTATTTGTGCACTTGAATCACAAGATCGAAAGCAAAGAAACCAATGAACGTTATAAAAGCAACACCTCAAGTGCACAACACACACACACACACAACTACACACACACACACTCGCTCACTCGGTTCGAGCCTGGCTCGTATTGTCGATGATCTGTCATATGTGGTCGTAATATCTATGTGCGCCATTGTGTGAATCAGAAACTGAACTCGTTTCGAGTCGTTTTTACAGCTCGACCAGTCAAGTCGGTCAGATGCTGGACTCGATGGTGTTTGATTTGCTGGCTTGATTGATTGATTGCTTGACGCGGTGCGCCGCTCGATTTGAAGTAATGATTTTCGATATTTTGCGCGCAATTGGAACTGAGCGTGATGATATACAAATTTCTGGATTGGTTCCCACAAATAATGACATTGCGATACTGGCGCGGCACGCACAGAATATATATGTATATATATATATTGACACCACAGTGGAGCCTCGTCTCGCGGCCTGATTGACAACTTACTGCCGCAGAGGGCCTTGAGTTGCGATATCTGCGAATGCGTGACTGTTGTGTCTTAACTAAACCCAAAAGAGATGCAGAATATTTTGCATGCCGCAAGGCGACGCATCCAAATCCGTAGCCAAATCTGAGCTTGCGTCTGTATCCTGGACAGACTAATCAACAATGCATCGATATAAAGGTGAAGCTTCAGTTTCTGTGAAACGCCGTCAGCTGATGCTGCAGATATCGCGTACCATATACCCAGCTAAGTAATCCCGGCCTGCGTCTGCCAATCGTCTGGCCCTGGCTCTTCTGCCTCAGCCTCTGATGTGTCGTCGTCGTCTGGCGCTATATCTTTAGCATCTCTGGCCATAAATAAGCGCAGACAGTCGAATGCTTCTCGCAAGGGCTTCGGCTTTGCCCTGACATACGAGTAACCAGTAGGCAACTGCTCGTGCGACTTGTACTCATGCCCCATGGAACTCACGTGCATTTAGATCGAAGGCGAAGCATTTCGCACTGTCGATGGCAGATTGGCAAACTTTTGAAGTTGAGTACTTAAGGGGCATGCGAACTACTTAAACACCTAAATAGACACCTACATTACGTTTAAAACACATGCATGCCTCTAGGCAACTGTGACAAATATTAGCTTATACTCTTCTCAAAGGAATAAATATTTACATTTGGATCTATGAAAGAACATTTAAACATCACAGATGCGAACCAGTCAATTTGCATTTAGGAAGAAAACAATTTGATGAAAGGTGAAAATTTTAATAGAAATAATTATAAAAGGTTCTTAACTATTTCATATATGTACTTTTATATATAATTATACTGAATATTAAAAAATTTAGTTATTTTCATCGTTTCATCTCAGAATACCTTTTTTTAATCTAAAAGAATTAATTAGAATTTAAACCCAAATTGTTTTTGGTTTATAGTTTTTAAGTAGGGTTAAACAACTGACCTTCTCTTTGTAACTTTCTACTCAATATTCAGACAAAAAGTAGAAAAACCTGCCAGCCACAAGTCGAAGACTGTGAAAATGTCAAAGGCAACTTTCAATGCGACTAATACAAATAACAATGCCAATTAGACAACTCGTTAACAGATTCCCAGTGCCAGTGCCATTGCCTGGCGGTGCTCTTGTATCCAAATCCGAGCTCTCGTATCCCAATCCCAAACCGAAATCGTATCGCTAGCCCAATGTCTGACAATTGCCACAGAGCAAAGAAATATCGCGAAATGCCAAACAAAACTCGTGAACTGTCAACATCTGAACTGCAGAGTCGGAGTTGGAGCTGGAGTTGGAGCGAGGTTTGCGTGTATGTCGCTTGGCTCATATCAGTCAAGACGAATCTCTCCGCTGGGCCGGCGAACAAGCAGACAAACACCAAGCCAAACAGACAGACAAAAAGACAGACAGACAGACAGGCCAGAGATCGGCCAGAAAGTGAGAAGCCGCAGAGAGAGATTTTAATTACATCTGCAATGGTCTGCGACGGCGACGGCGACTGCGACTGGGATTGGGATTGGGACTCGGATTGGGAACACAGTATGGCGTATGAAGCTGGGGCGCTGGCAATTATTTACATTAACACGATCACAACTCAGAGACACTGCACATGCATCATCGTGTGTTGTGCGATGTCGATCGAGATCGGACCCAGAGACCAGGCAGACCAGGGAGACCAGGGTACCCATACGGCGACAGGCGTCGTCACAGTCGCAGTCGCAGTCAGAGAGTCGTAGCTGGAGCTGGATTCTCGTTGCCTCTGTCTTGTATGCATATTAATTTATTGGAATCATGTTAGTGAGTCGATATTGATACAAATCCATTTTCGATCGCACTGCTTCGATACCACAGCGCATGTGTCGACTCCCAGTACAAGCTGCGCCCCAGGTTTACACCATCCACATCTGCTGCATTCTGGGCCTGGCAGAGACTGGGCACATGCTGGGGCACAGACAGCAGCCACATTACACAACACACAGAACAGCAATCGCTACCAACTGGCCCAGTGGCAGTGGGCAGCACTTGCCCCCACCGATTCACCCGCGAATCGCATGCACAGCGATCGTATTGGGCTTTAATCCCTCGGCCATGGCTATCATGCGATTGCGGACAAGATCCGGACAGTTAAGGACGGACAAGACGGGCAGCAGCAGCTGCATGCCACATTTGATGGTTGCTGTTTTCTAATTAAATTCAATCGATTAAGCATTCGATTTACTGCCGCACACACAAGTCTAAGTCTCATCCTTATCAAGCTTATGTCTACGACATATCGCTGCACTTGAAAAAAATAACGCACACTTCTCTTTCATGGAAAAAGTTGCTTTAAATGCTTGCACACATTATATACTGTCTTTCATTTAAATGAAATTTAAATGTAAAATATATATGCGTTGTTTTAAGCTGCAGCAATTTTTATTAAATCTCTGTCGATCTTAACCTTCATTAAGGATTTTGTACGTATTTGAATTGAATGTAAAATACGTACTTTAAAAATTATTTTTAGAATTCTACAAAAGTTCTTTTTAAATAACAGGTTCCATGAAATTTAACATATTTTTGTATTTTATAAAAAATGTTTCGAAATTATGAAGCTTTTTTTAAATATTTAATTGTAAATCGCAAATTATCTATAAGGGAAATTCTTTAACTTACAAAAGTCTTATCTGAAGAAAATATCTTAAATTTATGGACATGTATATTTATATATTCAACATGGTAGCTTATAAAATTGTTGCCCTATTTTCTGTACCACATCTGTAGGGTCCTCATACGTTTGATTTTCTTCTGCAACTGCAAGATGCCATAGAGCAGTGCCTCGGCAGTGGGTGGGCAGCCGGGCACATAGATGTCGACGGGCACAATGCGATCACAGCCGCGCACCACCGAGTAGGAGTAGTGATAGTAGCCGCCGCCGTTGGCGCAGCTGCCCATTGAGATGACCCAGCGCGGTTCGGGCATTTGGTCATAGACCTTGCGCAGGGCCGGCGCCATTTTGTTGGTCAAGGTGCCGGCCACAATGATGAGATCCGTTTGACGTGGCGACGCGCGGAAGACGACGCCAAAGCGATCCATATCGTAGCGTGGCCCGGCAATGTGCATCATTTCCACGGCGCAACAGGCCAGGCCAAAGGTCATGGGCCACAGCGAGCCCTTGCGACCCCAGTTCAGCAAATCATCCAGTCGCGTCACCGTCCACTCAGCCCAGCCGACCTGTTGCCTGCCAAATGGAGAATAGCCCTTCTTGGGCGGCATACCGTGCTTATCCACATTGTGCATGGTCTGCTGCTCTCGCACAAACGCAGAGTTCATAAAGGGAACCAGTTGAGCTCTAATTGGGGCTCGACGTAATATTTCTAGAGCCATCATTTTGTTTCTAGGGATTAGCAAGAATTGAGTTTACAGAAAGATTGTTTTTGATTTCTGAAGAAAGTAATATTTACTTGGTTTCTGTTCTAGTTTAACTTCTAGAGATTTCAATGAGAATACGGAAGTCAATTTGACAGCTTGCTTATAATATTTTACAGCACTATTTCTCTTTCGATAAATCGACTTAAGACCTTTAAATTATGTAATCGAAAATAAGATCTGAAAGGAATTTTTAATCAATTTATGTATATTTATTTTTTTATACCCTTGATCTTATAAATGCCACAATTGCTTGCAATATTATTATTAAATTGACAAGCACTTGGGAAACCGAAACTAATATAACATATGATATATATATATTCTTAGCTTATATAGTTTATCCAACAGTTCCCAGCTTAAATAAATGTCCTGGTCAACACAAACATACATTGGCACACGTCTGGGACATTTGGGCGCTGTTGACAAATGGGAAACTGAAACTTGGTCCAACGCCCATTTTGTCAGTTTCGTCTCAGTTTTGTGTGGCATGGACTTTAATCATTCCGTTCGCGACATGTCGCACTAATTGCCTCAATTAATTGTCCAAAATGTGTTTGTGTTTTTTTTTTGTGTGGAACTTTCTACATCGAATTGATTAAAGTGTGATGCGATATGGGCGTGGTCATACGCTGAGACGGGCGTGCAATCTATAAAAATTATTGCATCAAATCACAAAAAAAATTCCAGTGCGCTGTGCGACTGTTCGTTGTCATATTGCTGGACCCAGGGGAGCGCTGGGGCGGGTGTGGAGGGGTGTGCAGAGGGCCAGAGGCAGAGGGAGCTACATTGACAACAACACGTTGACGTCTGAGTCCAAGTCGAGAGCCGCTTGTTGGCTGTATGCCTAAGCATGCTGGGCATGTCAACAAGCGACTCGGACCCGGAGCTGCCAAAGGCCCCAGCAACAAGTCAACGCGCGCTGACAGCAACATGAGCGCAACAGCAGCAGCAGCAGCAACCACAACGACAGCAACAGCAACAACAGCAACAGCAGCAGCAGCAATAACAAACAAGAGCTGAACGATCGTCGATGGTGCGCTCAATGATTGGGATTGAGATCGGCATCTCGGGATCGCCATTGGTATCGGCATTAGTATCGGGATTCGGGCTTCGGGCTACGGGCTTCGGGCTGCGGGCTACGGGCTTGGGGGCTGTGCTGGGCCAGAGTTGCTCATCTTCATCTCTGGACTGATCGCACGCACTGAGACACAAACCGCGTGTGTTTTTGTCGCAAATCGCCAGATTGCGATCTCATTAAAGCGAATTATTTGTGTTGCTGCTTATGTTCGGGCCTGTTGCATCTCTCACACTCGCTCTCCCCAGTGCCAGTGTACCAGATCTCAGATCCAGGAGCAGTCATTGCCATTGGTTTCGCTCTCAGTCGATTGTTGCTGCTGCTGTTGCTGCTGCTGCTGCTGCTGCTGCTGTTGCATTCGTGATTGTTATCGCAGCAACAAACTTGTTGTTGTTGCCGTGAGTCGTTCTCGTTGCTCTGCAGTTGCCGATTTGCCAATCGTTTAAGCTCCCATTCCCCCCGCCCCATGTTGCTGTTGCCGTTGCTGTTGGGAGTAAAATGTGCGATTAACGCGCTGCCATCGCCATAATTTATGCTTGGCTCGTTGTCAATAAGTTTTAGGGTTGTCACCATTCCCCTTGTCACACGATCGGTGGCCAAAGTCAAATTTATGCCCAACGCTTAAACTTTGACTAGCTAAATGCAGCCCAGCGCTATGCAGCCAGCAACAAAATTCCTTCGCGAATATATATGTGTATATTTATATTTATAGAACTCAAACCTAGGAATGTGATTTACCAGATAATAGAGCGACAAGTGCTATAAGTTAAGAATCTGAAATACAGTTTGAATAACAAATTTTTTGGATTAGGGGCTTGTGAGAGGGCGAAGACCGTAATTAAAAATGTTCGTAAACTAAGGGGGTTAAGCTATTTTTAACGAATTCAATCTGTTGTTAACATTTTATAACAGCCAAACAAGTAAAAGGTACCGTGAACCTCCTTGTTGGAGAAAGATCTATATATTCTATTCTGCAAGGTACATGACAAATATGGCGACTCTAGCCAATAAAGCCTAAGAGATTAGGACAAAAAACAGAATTTCGAATTCAATTTTTATCGATTGCTTGGACACGGGGCAAGTTATCGATTATCGGATACAAGTTCGTGCACTGAAAGGACCTAGATTGACTTGCCTATTGATGCTGATGAAGGTTAAATAATACTTTATGGGATAGGAGATGACTCCTTCTGTCTGTCACATGCATTTGCCCAAAAAAATTATACGCTTTTTAATTATTTCATTGGGTTCAGGGTATCAAAAATATGTAACTAAAAATGTTACATCCCCCCCCATACATTACAAATGTCTTCCAAGATATAATAATAATTCTTCTAAAAATTCTAAGATTGTGTTTAGTTCCCATTTCTTAGTACACTTTATTCTTATTAGCGAGAATGATAATTTTAATAAGAATTTTGAAGCCCACAAAAGACTTCCAAATATAAATAATAAATATATAAGAATATGTATCTCAATTATACATTTAAGTTTAACCTCAACCTTTTTGAAAAATGTTAAAAAAAATTATCTCAGTTACAAATAAGAAGCTTCGATAGGATATAAAAGAAAAGTTTTTGGAAAAAATTTACCAATTCTTCATGTCAAATATTTTATTAAAATTTAAATCAATATAAATTGAGATACAAAATGATTCCTATTTATTTATACAATTAGTTCTCAAACCAGCGAAAACCTAAAAATAATCTTTTACAAATAAGAAGCTTCGGTGGGATATAAATGAAAATTTTTTAACACAGTTAAGTGAGTGTACATGTCAACTATTTTATTCAAATGAAAGAAATTCAGCTCAATCGAGTTTGAGATAAATAATGAGTGGTTAGTTTGCTGGCCAGCCACATATAACTCAACAATAGTTAAATGTGAGGGCTCTTAAATGGCTTGAGCTGTATTTATTTATACCAACACTTTGATTCGCACTGTTGACACATGGCCAAGCATATTTTGTAGTCCCCGGCACCGGTTGAGCTATTAGATACTCAGAGACCGCATCAATTGTGGCGCTGGTTGTTGTCGTGTTGCTCCGCTGTCAGCCACAACAGATGACTCTGGTCGAGAGCTACAGTGGGAACAGTGGAAACAGTGGTAGCAGCTCGTGCTGGACTCCCACGAGTCTAATCAGTTGGTAATTTGAAGGGCAGAGCGAGTGATAGCTGAGCATCAACAGAGATGCTTCAGTGTTTGCCTGACTTATTGCAGGTGACTTTGTTTTGGGCTGCAAAATATGTGAATTAGGGGTCGGAAGCTGACCTACTCAACGCAGCCCTTTCGCTTTTATGGGGATTTTTGGCCATTTGTCCGTTTGCCGGACATTTGGTAAATGAATGGCCAGTGATTTGGCGGGCCAAATGAATGAATTAGTTCCTTGGAGACTTGCAGGACTCTTGCGGCTCTGAGATTTGCACCTTGATGGATGTTGTGCCCAAGCCAAATACCTCAACCCTAGCCCGGCTACTGCGTGAGCTCTGATAAATTTGCTTTATTGATAATAAATTTAATTTGCTTAAGAGTTTACAAAAAACCAAAAAAAAAAAAACCGAACCGTTTAAATATTTATTTTAATTTGAAATTGAAATATCGCATTGGGCGCGCGTTGAGAGATTTATGCGTTTGCATCAAACTGTGAGATAAATTGCCGCCAATGAAACCAGAACAAAAAACACAACACAAATGTTTACACTTCCGAGGTGTGTGTGTGTGTGTGCGAGAGTGTGTGGGCAACAGCAGCTACTCCAGGGCATAAATATTGATAAATACTTTTAGTTCAATTCATTTCGGTGCGTTGCGTAGTTCTTTGCAATTTTCCCAATTTTCAAATACTCTTCGCATCTTAATGTGGCTGCTGTTGCTGCTGTTGCTGCCGCATTCAATTGTAATTAGGCGCTAGATTTGGCAGACTGCTGGCATTCCGGCAACAAGCCGAAAATGGATCTGCCCGGGCTCCATCTGGCCACTGGGATTTTCCGAGTTCGGTTCCGTTGCACGTGGCCGAATAAACCTGTTGCTGCTGCTGCTGCTGCTGCTGTTGTTGTTGCTGCTGTTGTTGTTGTTGCTGCCGTTGCGCATGCGTGGACATTTTGGCCTTTGGCTAGTTTTCTATTAATTACACTGATTTATGTGCTCATTGTCCATTGTTGCTGCCGCTGGCCACTCACTGGCTTGCCAGTTGGCTCGCGGCATTCGCTGACTTTATGATGGTTCACTTTTAATGGATCGTTGCCATCGACAAAAGAAAAGAAAATTCGGCAATTGCAGGCCATTGCGGACCATTGTTATCCGTGCGCCAAGAAAGTTGATTACAATACCCTTAACAAGATGCATAGATAAATAAGGAGTTACTCAAGCCAACATTCAGTATACCATATATCCTCCAAACTCTAGACAATTTCATACAATAGAAAAGCTAAAGAAATGCTTTCTTAAAGTCCTATTGTAATACTCCTGTCGTGATGTTAGTAGCTTTTTTGAAACGCATGACTGACTCACAAAATGTGTCCCAAAGAAAATATAAAGTGATAAGTTAAAACCGGAGCTAGACGCAAAAGGCAGCTGCAGGAAGTGCTTGAAGCGAGGAAGAAACATCTGATCCAAGGCTTCTTCCATTTGATTCAAGGATGTTCCATATTATATTTATATTTATAAAAATTATTAAGAACTTTTTGTCTAAACAGAGACATTATTTTTAGATTCACGAAGTATTTCGGGCAGATTTTAAAAGAGATATATATTAAAATGAGTTTATTTGAGCTTGATTCATAACGAAATAATATAAGTTTTTCTGTGCTTTTGGTTTAAATAAAAATCAGATATTTTTATTATTATTTTTTCTCTGAGTGTAGTCTCTTGAATTCGGCATTAATAATCCTTGAGTTTTTGAATTCTTGACCTCTTTACTTGTTAAATTTTAGACCCAAATATCAAATTTTAAATAAAATAAAA